GTTCGTCGGGCATGGGGCTAGTGCTTGGAGGGCGTGAGCGGCCTGTGCTCACTGGGCACTCAGACGCTTCTTGGGCTGACGACCAGGCTACTCAGAGGTCGTCTCAGGGTTACACCTTCAATCTTGGCTCTGGCTCTGTCTCTTGGCGCTCTACTCGCTCTTCTTCGGTTCTCAGCTCCAGCTGTGAGGCTGAGATCTACGCCACGGCCATGGCTGCCCAGGAGCTTCGCTGGCTCACCTACCTGCTGACTGACCTTGGAGAGCGGCCTCGTTCTCCTCCAGTGCTGTACGTCGACAACAAGGCAACCATTGCCTTGTGTGAGGAGCACAAACTGGAGCACAGGACGAAGCACATTGCTCTGCGCTACTTCCTTGCTCGAGAGCTGCAGCTGCGTGGTCAGCTTCGCCTTCGTTTCGTGGCCACTGAGGCCAACACTGCTGATGTGTTCACCAAGGCACTTCCGCCTCGTGACCATCAGCGCTTTTGCACTCTGCTAGGCCTTGTGCCCGCTGGGCCTCACTTGCTTACCTCTTGACCTTGCTTGTACTGCTGCATATATATATCCTTGCTCTTGCTTGTTTAGCACTGTTATATATATATGCTCTGCTGCATGTGAACTGGCCTTGTGGCCTTGACCTTGTGCTCGGAATTTGTGTGGTATCCTTGAGATCCACCCTGAGCTTGCTTTGCTTTGCTTTGCTTTGCTTGACTGGTCTTGTGACCCCTTGCTCTCCCCCACTTTGCCTATGGGGGTGTGTCAGATGATTATATTACTGATGCATATATTTAGGCTGTAGTGGGGTAGCCCATAGGGGGTACAACCCAATTAGGGTTGGTACTTGTACTTGTTTCATTTCATAGTGCATTCATTCTCTCTCTAATCTCAACATATCGGGGGAGTGTTGTATCCTCTGGATAAGCTGCTTCGTCTCCTGCTTCTGGATCGGGTATGAAATTTGGCCCTATCCTTTCTGCTTCATTTGTGTTGACTGTCACAGGTGTTACGTAACCGTTGTCGGCGAAGTGATAGAAGACTTCGGCGTTGTTACTGTCGCGAGGATTTTCTTCGTCCATGGGCACGTTGACGGAGCAGTACGGGAGAGGTCCGGCTTCTTCCGATGCGTTGTCGACGTTCTGTTCATCCCAGTCTGCTTCGTCCGCGGCTGAGGCGAAGGCTCGGTCACCACGAAAGCCACCTGTGAGGTCCCGATTCTCGTGCAAGTTGGCGAGGTACGTCTGAAGGGTGAGTCGCTCGTAGAAGATCACATCACGTCCTGCTACTGTTTCCTTTGTGTGGACGTCGAAGATTTTCCACGCGTTGTAATGTTTCTCGATGCCGAGGTGTAGTCCCCACTGTGCCCGTTGTGAAAATCTTCCCGCTCGTGCTTCTGGGGGTCTGTACTGTACCATGCATCCGAAAACTCGTAACATTCTTGTGCTGCCCAGCTTCCCTGTCCACAGCAGATGCGGTGAGGCGTTGTTCGGGAGTGACGACGACGACAACAAGTTGTGCAGCATGACAGCATGGTCCATTGCTGCAGGCCACTGGTGGTTGGGTAGCCGCATGCCACGTAGCAGTTTGCGCATGCTGTTCTGCAGAGTCCTGTTCATTCTTTCTGCTACACCTTGCTGCTGATGTGCGTAGGGAAGGGAGAGGAGTTGCTTGATCCCTCTTTCCGCCAGGTACTGCTTGAAGCGCTAAGAGGTGTACTCTCCTCCTCCGTCTGACTGGAAGCTTTTCAGTTGTGTTCCTGATTCCCTCTCTGCTACCGGTAGCCAAGCGGCGAATGCTGCGAGTGCCATGTCGCGGCTGGGTAGGTTGCGATGCCAAACGTATCGAGTGGCGGCGTCGATGAAGGTGATCGTGTAATTGTAGGTGACTTGTCCTGGTTCTCGATTGTAGAGGATGTCGCTGTAAACTTTCTTGAGTGGTGCGTATGCAGGTGCGCTCGGGTTGTGGTGAGAGGAAAACGGTCGATGGGGTAAGTCGGCTTCGGGGCAGATGAGGCAAGTCCCTCGTGCACGTTGAAGTTCTCTGCCGTCGAGTAGTAGTAGCGAATCCTTGTCTAGAACTCTTGCTCGTATCGTGTTGTTTAACACCGTATTGCTTGGATGTCCTGTGCGTGCGTGCCAGATGTCTTCAGGAGCGCGATGTAAGGGTGAGCGTTGATACGCGTCAGAGTTGGAGTAGAAGTTGGCGACGATGTTTGCGCTTCGGTGGACTTCTCGTTGAGTCGGGTTCAGCTGTTGTGCGGGTGTTGGTGGTGTTTCGATGACTGGTGTCGTTGGTCCTGCTGCTTTCGATGATCGTTCTGCTGCTGCCGAAGTTGTCTCTGCTGCTGTCGATGTTGTCTCTGCTGCTGTCGTTTGTTGAATCGTTGCTAATGCTCGTGTTCGTTCTGCTTCAGGGATGGTGTGCGAGTACCAGAAACCTCCTGGGCTGAAGTCGGGATCGAGATCTGGAGGATGAGTCCAGTCGGTGAAGTTGACGATGGCGTCGCTGTCTGGAGTGCCCAGGTCGGGGACGAAATCGAGGACGAAGACGTTATTCTTCAACACTGCTTTTCCGATGTAGAGGCCGCCCTTCCCGTGGTATAACTTAAACTCCTGGGTGGTGCTGTCGGCTTCCAAGTGGATGCCTTTCGCCATCAACTGGCTGACACTCAGTAAGTTGTAGCCTAGTCCCTCCGCGATAAGTACCTTTGACATGTGTAATATGACATTTGTTTCTCGTGACTGAAGCTGTACCGCTCCTTGTCGTCGTGTGCGCAGGTTCTGATTGTTGGCGACCGTGATGACTACTTCTAGCTGGAGTCGATGTTCGCGTTGAACGAAGCGCCCGGAGGAGCACATGTGTTGTCCGCAGCAACTATCCAAGAACCAAGTGTCTTGGCCAGATGGTTCGCTTTGAGCGATGGCGGCGTACGTCGGATTCGGCTGGAGTGATTCGCGGCGAGGCGTCCTGTTGTCGAGCTCTTCTTCTGGTGAGTAGTGGGGTGGTGACTTGGTTGTGCACGAATCGGTTATCTTCACCATGCAATTGACGATGCTTCTTGTTCCTTGTGCAGGTTGTCCAGTTGAAGTCGTTGAAGCTTGGATTGTGGTCGTCGGACTTGCTTGCGTTGAAGCAACTTGGGAGCTTGAAGGCCGGAGTTGTCGCTGTGGTGTTGTCTGACGAGACGGGCAGTGCGTGCGAGGATGGCCCGAAGTCTTGCAGATGTGGCAGAACGGAGGTACTGTCTTTACTTGTTGTTGACGGTTGTTGTTGCCGTTGTATCGTCGCTGAGTGTGAAACGCAAACTCTGGTGCTAATGCTTTCTTCTTGTGTCTTTCTTCTTGCAGGTCCATGTCTTGCTGCTCAGCATGAATTTCGGCGCAGAGTGCCGCTTCGGAAATCCTCCCGTGTGCTCGTAATATGGCGCGAGTGGAGCGCCAGTGGGGGCCGAGACCGCCGATGACCACCGTGACAAAGGCGTCTTCTGAAATCGACCCGCCGCATCGAAGAAGCTTGTCGCGCAGTTCGCGACAGCGGCTGATATAAGCCATGCCTTTCTCGCCTGGTTTCATTTCAATCGTTGTCAGCTGCGCCATTAACCTGCTTTGATTTACGCTGTTTGTTGCTTGATACAGGTTCTTCAGGTGGTTGTACGCGAGCTCCGCGGAGTTGCCGTAGCCTCGGTAAGTCCTGATGTTCTGCTGCTGGGTCGGGGTGATGTTCCTCAGCAGTATCGTGTACGCCATCATCGATTGATAAGTATATTGCTGTTTCTCATATTGCGTCCCGTTTGTTGGATATGGCAGGGACCCGTCGAAGAAGCCGAGAATCTGTGCTCCTTCCATCATCAGTTCGAACTCGAACGACCAGGTGAAGAAATCTTTGCCGTCGAAAGGCTTTGTCGTTTGTAGTTTTTAAGACATGCGCGAATTGCGATTGAACTTGTAACGCATCCAATGCCCTTTCTTGTCCTGGTGCAGGTTGCGGTTGCGGCATGAAGCTGACGGAGCCACGCTGGGGCTCGTATGGCGCAAAGGTAGGCTGTTGTTGTTGTTGTTGAATCCCGCGTGCGTAGGATGAGCCATCGAGACTCATAGGCGTCACGTTGTTGTTGTTGTTGCTGTTGTTTGATTGCGCAGGTGCTCCTTGCTGGTGCTGCTCGTAGAAGGACATGAAGGAGAAGAACTTTTCCATCATGCTTGGATCGAAGCCTGCGGGCGTTTCCGTAGACCCAGCTGCTGGTCTCGTGGTAGTCCCTTCCTCTGTCTGTAGACCAGAGACAGGAGGTGGAGTAGGAGTAGTGTCTGGAGAGCCGTTGGAGGAGCTCCTCTCCTTCCTTGCAGACATGTCTTCTTGTATTGAGTGTTAAAAAGGAAAACAACTTTAAAACTCTAACTGCTCTCATACCATGTTGGGCTGAAGTGCCCTAGGATCTTTGTGAAGTTTAAGTCTGAGTAGAATTGTAGTAGCGGAAGCGTTTGAATGAAAGTACTTGAACCACCTTGCGCTAGTATGTGAGGGCAAAGTAAGTTGATTAAACAAGCAAATACAAAGGTTTATATAAGAGTACAAGGAATACGAATAGATAAGTTAAAACTGTTTTACTGTTGCGATTCGATACAGTGCGACTCGGGCAACTGCTCAATGTCGAGTCAGTTGTGTGTCCTTGCTGTCGCGCTGTATTTGTCAAGTCAAAGGTCGCTGACCTTTGACCTTCTCGTAACCTCCAGGCGGTTACCCTAACCTCCGAGGGTTGACTCGCGATGCTTCGATTCGGACTGCTTCGCTAGTGTCCTGAGTTTCGACACGACAGAGGCGCTTAAGACTTATTATTCCCAACAATTTACACTGATAAATTTGCCCTGATATCCAGGGTATCACGCGGTAATGACAATGAAGCACGATCACTTTACAATACATGGAGCAAAGGATCTGCAATTTTGTGATTCACAATTTTCCATTACATCACTAATAGTAACTGGCAAGACGAATGCGAAAAGCAAATCAGTGGAATTTATGGGCCTGGATTAGGCTTTTGAGTACATTGTTGGGTGTTAGGCATGTATGCTGCAGTTGCTGACCAGTGCATGGTGACACACCAGATGTGGCCATCCAGCGTGCAATGTGCTCCCTCTCATACGTGAAACCATCAGCTGCCACCACAGGGTCGCGCATAATTTCCTGCACAATAAAGGAACCGCAACATACCATCATATGGATCCAAGATAAGCTTAAGCAAAGTTAGGCTCATGAATCCTGACACGTGTCGTATAGATTGTGAGCAAAGACCTCGAGAGTGTGCATACCTTCGAAATTGGGCAAATGAATTGCGAGTCAATCCTCTTCTTCCGTCTCTTTTCTTCCGCCAGTGCCTCTTTTGCAATCTCAGCCAGAGCTGGGTGGATGACCTCCGCCAGGTCGGGCCGCCTCTCCCTCCTGCGCTCCGCACACTGCAGCGCGATGCTCGCTGCCCTCTCCGCCAGGTCCAGCCGCCAGTCACCCGCCGAGCTGTCCAGGTACTTGAGCAGCGCCTCGCCCGTTACCGCACCGTCCCCTGCCCGTCCGCGCCCGCCCCTGGCGGCCGAGTCCTGAAGATCTGCCAGCAGGCGGTGCACGGCGCGCACACTGCGCTGCCCCGTGAGCAGCTGCAGCATGATGAGTCCGAGCGCGTACACATCGGACAGCACGCTGATCTCACACGTCTCCACCTCCTCGGGGTCGATGTACCCCGCCGTGCCGCGCACCTTCATCGTCACGCTGTCGTCCGCACACAGCAGCCGCGCCAGCCCCACGTCGCCGATCTTGCTCGCCAGGTGGCCGTCCAGCAGGATGTTGTCGGGCTTTAAGTCGCGGTGAACAATGGGCGGCTCGTTCTGGTGCAGGTACAGCAGCGCCGACGCCACCTCCGACAGGATGCGAAGCCGGTCCACCCACGCCAGCGGCGCTGCATTAGGGGACTTGGGCGGGCCCAGCTTGTCCTGCAGAGTGCCGCCCGGGAGGAACTCGTAGACGAGAGCCATCTCCTCGACGCAGCAGCCCATGAGCAGCACGATGTTGGGGTGGCGCATGCGGCTGAGCACCTCCACCTCCATGCGGAACTCCTCCGGCCCCTGCCACCCCTGCCCCTCCAGCCGCTTCACCGCCACCTTGCACCCCAGCATCTCCCCGCGGAACACCATGCCGAACGACCCGCGCCCCAGCAGATTGCTCTCCTCGTACCCTCCTGTCGCGCGCTCTAGCTGCTGCGGGGTGAAGAGGCGGCAGTCAATGCCGCCCTCACTCATGAGCTGCGCGGCGGAGCGCGGGCTGAGTGGGCCGCCACCGAAGGAGGTGCGGCCGATGGATAACCCCGTGGCGCCGCCGCTGCCGGGTGTATGAGAGGAGTGCGCGTGGAAGCGCTGCCAGGAGAAGCGGTTGGAGAAGTCCCGCGAGCGCGTGGCTGCACCCGAGTGCAGCTCTGTGGACAAACCTTCAAACCCCCCTCCACCACCCCCCACCCCTGCTACTGCTGATGCCCCACCCCCCACGCCTGCCGGCGGGCCAGCTACAGGGGTGGAGGAGGCGTCGTCGTGCTGACTCCAGTGGCGGTTGTGCGGCCCGCTCAGGTGCAGCACGCGCTGCTGCGACACCGACTGCCGCTGCACGCCATGCCGCATGCACAGTGGGGGGGGATTGACATGCATGTACAAACAGGAAGTGAGCTAACAGGCGTGTGCACACCAGTGTTGGTTGATACCCTATTAACCAAAGATGGGGTGGAGTGGTAGCACTAGGGGGAAGAGGGCGGGGAAGGGAGGGGGGTGGGGTGTGTTGGAGAGGGGGGCAAAATGTATTTTAAATGCTGGCTTATTAACATGGGGAATCAGGCCCTCTTTGTATTTGACATCATTCCAGAATTAAATTTAGTCGCTCTATAAACGTTGCTGTAGATTGAATGGTAACGGTGGCGGTACACAACACACAAAGATGAGGAAGCCACTCACACAGAAACGCATACAGTGGCATGAAGGCATGCAAATCGCAGCTCTGAGAACTCACCCCTGATCGACTGTCTCCGCCTGCTGCCTCCATTCCCTTCTCTGCCAGGCGGTTGCTGCTCACCGCCCTGCCTTCCCACCGCTCGCCCCCTCCCGCAGCGCCCTCCTCCTCGTCCAGCCGAGCCAGCTCGTCCGCCAGCGACCGCGACCCACCCGCGCCCTCCTCCCCCTCCTCGCCCCTCGCCCCCCCCGCCTGCCCGCCCACCTCCCTCTCCTCCTGCAGCGCCACCAGCGGCTCCATGCTGCCGCGCCGCCCCGTGCTGCCGTTCAGCGCAGGGGACAGCCGCGACGCAGCGGCGGCGGCAGCAGCGGCGTCCAGCGTGAGCGCGTTGGACGAGGCGGCGCGCGTGTGCTCCCTGCCGTCATGCGCGCCTGCCGCTGACGACCGGATGGGTGGCAGGCCCGAGGGGCGCGTCATGCCGACATCGGAGGAGCAGCGGCGGAACCTGTCGGCGCTCTGCTGGTCCGCGTCCAGCGACTGCCGCGCTGCTCCGCCCTCCTGCTCCCAGCACACACCAGCCGTGGCACGCACGCACAGAAGAGGAGGCTGTCAAGGAGGACCCACGGACACAAGCCATGAAGGTTGGTTGGTGCACGCCAGTGACATGGAAAGGAAGCAAGCAGGAAGCACAGAGCACTCACGGGGTGTGAGCTTGCAGACATGGTTGGCAGGGGGCTGGCCCCCAGGGGACTGGCGCCCAAGGGGGTGGCCCCTACGGACATGGAAGTCAAGCTGCCTCTCACAGGCGACTCCCACGAGCCCTGTGCTGCGCCCTCCTCCCTGCCCGCAGCTGCCAGCCCCTGTGCGTGCAGCGGTGTGGATGTTCCGGGAGCGCCACCGGAGGCGGAGGGCGAGCAGCTGCCGGAGCCGGCAGCAGCGGAGTGCGCGAGGCGGGCAGCGGTGTCGCCAATGGGGCTGCCCGGGGCGGGCAGGGCGGAGGGGTCGGGGGGAGTGCAGTCGGGCAGGGCCCCCGGCATGGAGAACTGGCCGCTGGAGTGCAGGCTGGGCGTGGGCGAGGAGGCGGGGGCAGAGGTGTCGCTGGCGGCGGAGAGGGACGTGGGCATGGTGCGGTGAGGGGCGGGGGACGAGCACGACGACGCCAGGTGGCTGCCCAGCAGCGCTCCGTTGTGGTGCGAGTCTGGCGTGGCGGCGCCCGAGTCGGGCGAGTGCAGCGAGGAGGCGGCAGAGGCGTTGAAGCGACACGCGATGAAGGCGTTGGGCGGTACGGGGAAGGTGGCTTGCGTGCCCCCCGTGCCGGGCAGCGAGTGCATCTTCTTTGAGCCGTGCGCCACCACCAGCGTGCATGACGGCGGCAGCAGTGACTGGTATGCCGACGAGGATGATGACCAGCTTAGCAGCTTCCTGCACACGGTGCACAGCACACAGCACAAAGCACACAGCAGCACAGCACACAGCACAAAGCACACAGCAGCACAGCACACAGCACAAAGCACACAGCAGCACAGCACACAGCACAAAGCACACAGCAGCACAGCACACAGCACAAAACACACAGCACAAAGCACACAGCAGCACAGCACACAGCACAAAGCACACAGCGGCACAGCACACGGCACAAAGCACACAGCACAAAGCACACAGCAGCACAGCACACAGCACAAAGCACACAACAGCACAGCAGCACAGCACACAGCACACAGCAGCACAGCACAGCAGCACAGCGCACAGCACACAGCACACAGCAACACAGCACACACAAGCAGCACAGCACAGCAGCACAGCGCACACAGCAGCACAGCGCACAGCACACAGCACACAGCAACACAGCACACAGCACACACAAGCAGCACAGCACAGCAGCACAGCGCACACAGCAGCACAGCGCACAGCAACAGTGCACAGCCCAACGCACAGAGCAGCACACAGCACGCAGGGCAACACACGTCATGACCGCAACACACGCTGCTCATGCACAATGTGTCACTCTTCCGTGATAAAACAACCAACCAAGACAGCAATCACAGGAACCACAGTCCATATTTGTGGTGCATAAGGCGCCTAACGAAAGGGAGTGAGTGCAATGCAATGGTGAGCGGGAGGGTTGGGACAATGCAGAGGCAGAGGCGCACTTGCGGGCGGCGATGTACACACGCCCCCGTACTCACTTGCGGGTGGCGATGTAAACGCGCCGCGCCCCCTTACTCACTTGCGGGCGGCGATGTAGACGCGGTCAGCGTTGGCTCGCCTGGCCGCCGCGCACAGCCCGTGCTCTCTCGAATCGTTTCGCTCCAACGCTGCACTGCAGTGCACCTGTGGGTAGCCACCATGCACACACATGCCCACGCCCACGCCCACGCTTACGCCCACGCCCACGCCCGCGCACACACACACGCACACACACACGCACACACACACGCACACGCCCACGCACACGCACACGACCATTCCCACGTCCATGCTCACATGCACGCCCACACCCATGCACACGCCCATGCTCACATGCACGCACACGCACAAGCCCATGCACACGCATATACAGACGAGAGGGGCAGGCACGTGGAGCACGAGTTTGGGAAACTCGTAGGCGGCATTGTTCCATGCCGATTAGCGGGAATGGGACGGGCGGAGGGAGGAAAGACGCGGGCACGGGGAGGGCGGGAGGTGATGAGGGAGTGAGGGCTGGGAACGAGTGACAGCGGGCGGAGAGCGGAGTTGAGGGAGAGCGCGGATGAGGGAGTGGAGGGAGGGCGCGGTTGGGGGGTTGGACCGCACGTGTTTGGCCTTGGCGTACGCGAGGACGGGGCGCAGCATGACCTCCACGAGGCGCCGGCCGTGCTCCATTGCCGTCTTCGGGTCCACCTCGCTCGCCGGCAGCTCCATCCCGCCTGCTCCGCGCTCGCGCGACAAGGGGGAGGCGGGGAAATGAGGGTGTGAGGGGGCAGAAAGTGAGGCTCTCGCTTTTGGCGAGCGCTAAACATCACAAGAGGATGGGCAGACGATGAGGTTGGGTGGAAAGGCGGGGGAGAGGGGGTGTGAAAAAAAATGCGGAGTTGCGGGAAATCGGAAGTAGATCACGAGATACGTGAGGTGCACGCGACCCTGGCATGCACGCGATGCTGCTGCGCGGCGGGCGGCACGTCGCGACGCAGCCTGATCTCTGCTCTCGCCGAATCGCATCGCGAGCCCGCGGCCCGCAGCCCGGGAGAAGCAACGACGGAATGGGCGCGGCGAAGGGCGAGAGGAGAGAGGGAGCGGGGTTGAACGGAAGTAGAGAACGGTGCGACGCACGCGAGCAGGGCACTTCGGTCATGACGTGCACGACGAGAATGCTCGCCGCGCGTCCCTGCGACGGCGACTGCGCGAGCGCGAGGGAGTCGGCGATGGCGAGGCAGAGCGCGTCCTTGCTCTGATCCTTGTACTTGGTCACCTCCACCACCCACGTCGCCGCCGCCGCCTCCATCGCCGCCACTCCGCAACGCGCAACTGCACGGCCCGGCTGCAGGTGCAACGGTCATATGAGATGTCTAGTGCTGTTGGGCACTTGATGCGAGAGCCGCCAGATAAGGGTGTTGAACGAGGGATTGAGGTGTGGCTAACCCTAGACTGATGTCTCGAATGAAAGCCGGCACCCTCGTGCGTCTGCGATAGACTGCCGCACCTGCATGGGTGCAGTGCAGTTACGTGCATTTGGAAACTAACTACAAAAGTCAATTATATAATGAATAATGATATAGTACGGTACTGTAAGGAATTTTCTCGACATTCCTTAGCGCGCCCTGCAACATCGCATAGAGCAGCAGCCGTTGTTCGCCCGTTACTGCTAACGGGGCTTCGCCAGTTTCGCGCGCACTGTTTCACCAAACCTCGCACTGCTGGCCCGGCCGTGTCGGCCTACGCTTCGGGACTAGCCCGAACCTTGCCGCCAGCGTAGCACTAGCTAGCTCGCACGCACCGCATTACCGTTTGCATGTTTCGCGTATAAATGTTCGCTCATGCCTTCGCTCACATTTTGTACTCGTTTGACACCTAGTGCAATCCTCGCTACCTCAATTCATTTTACCCGTAACACTTGGTATCAGAGCCTCTTTCTTCTCGGACCGCGCATCTCCGCACCCCAGGAAATCAACTTTTGTTTTTTCACTCGAAGGGACTCACCCAACTTAACCCCTAGGAGAAGGGCTAACTTTAGTAAAATGACCCGTCTGATGTCAAGACCGGGTCCTGGCTCCTTGTCTGATTGTCAGACGAAAACTGTAACCTTGTCTAGCTTTTCAAACGAATCCTAAATACTTGTCTGAGAAGATATAAAGCTAGCAAGCAATGTACTCTTATATATGATTGAAAGAACTAAGTAAAAGAGTTGAACAGCTCTAATGGTCCAGTCTTTAGAATATGGATCAGTGAAAACTGAGGTATCCAGTTCGAATCATGTAGAACGCTAGTTTCGAGAGTTTTGCCTTCAGTCGAAAAAGAATCGATATCTGCAATCTCAGACGAACTGTATAAGGCTGTCTGAGAAATCAGATGAATAGAAAAAGCTTCTCTAAAAAAATCAGACGAAACTAAACAGCATGTCTACGGCATCAGATGAACCAGTAAAAATGTGTTCAGAATCCAGAAATTCAGACAAAAAATTTCTGATAAAGTGAGCCCTGCCTAGGAGCCGCTGTCTTCGCGTTCTCTCGTAAATACGTGCAGCCACGACTGCACCTAGACTAAGCCGAGCCGACGCCCTTCGTAATGGCCGAGCACATCGACGTCACCACTCTCACGCGGGAGTGCTTGAACGAACTGCTGCAGCAACTTCGCGAAAGGTCTGAAGAAATCGCGGCGCTGACGGCAGAACGCACGTCCCTGCAGAATGACGTCGCAAGAGTACAGCAAGCACAATCTCAAGCACCTAGCACTCTGGTACAGCCCGCACCACAAACATCGCAACATGGAAGTGTGGGGCAACCCGCGAGCGCGGCCAGTGATGGCGTCATCCGCCACGACGGAGACGACGACCATGGCACGACACACCCCGAAGCGACGAATGCGGCCAGGAGTCAGCCTCGAGTCACGATTTCTGTGCCGGCCGGCGAATCAACACTGCCGTCGCCGATGCCGCTGAAGCCGCAGCGTCCGCCATACTTCGACCTAAGTCAACGGGGTGGTCCTACAGTTCAGGCGTGGTTATTCACGATGAATGTCTTCTTCGACGCCAATTACGTCTCGGAGGAGACGGCAAAAATCCGTTATGCCGTGTCGCTGCTGCGAGGACCCGCCATGGATTGGTGGCGTGTCATCGTCACAAAGCCGGCGGAGTACGCGACTCTACCGACACGGGAAGGACAAACCGGACCCTGGGCGCCGTCGTATTTCGTGGAGGTGCCCCAATATCGCACGTGGGACGCGTGGTGCGCAGGTCTGCGCGCTCGGTTTGAGCCAATTGCGGCCTCGATTGCGGCGCGACAGAAGCTCCGCGCTTGGTGCCACCTCGGTTCCGTCCAGAACTACACCAGCGGGTTTCTGGCGCTATGCGAGCAAGTGGGTTATATGCACGAGAGCGAACGCATCGACCGCTACATCGGCGGCCTGAAGCACGACATCGCTCAGGAAATCTAGCTTCGCGGCGTCACCGATTTTCAAGAAATTCTCGCTATGGCGGAAAAGCTAGATTTGTTCCGCCGACCGAGATAGGGGTCCTATGGAAGCAACAACTGGGGACATCGGTCTCGTGGGACGAACGAGGGCGCTACGATACGTGCCGTCGCCACGAATGCCGCTGCCGCACCGTCCAAAGGGCGCTGCTTCGCGTGCAATCGGCCGGGACACTGTAAGAGCGAATGCCTTGAAAACGCTAAGGGAAAGGGGGAAGCTGAGCAGCAGAAACAGACCAAGTAGCAGGGAAACGCTGGGAGTCAGTAGCAGACGGGCCCCCTACTGTCAGGTCACGCCGCTCGCCCGACCCAACCGGCCCTCACCGAGTGATTGTGCCGGCCGAATAAGGAGGGTACTATGGTAGACAGCCCCATTCTGCTTAGTGGGAAAATTGGGACGGACTTAGTAAAAATCTTCGTAGATGGGGGAGCCAGCCACAGCCTCATCAACACTGCCACAACACAGAAACTGAAACTGCCACTGGACAGATGCTTACTTGAGATCGACGCAAGACTGGTTAACGGCACGCCGCTGGCGATACGGGAACGCGTAGACCGGGTTCTGATTCGATGCGGGGGTAACTTCACGTTTAGCCAGGAAATGCTCGCAACAACCCTCGATGGAATCGACATTTTACTCGGTCGTGATTGGCTGCGACGACACAATCCACGAATTGACTGGACGACGGGTGACTGCACCGTGCGAGTGAATGGTAACAACTTTGCCTTACCTTGCTGGGGCTCGCCTGAGTCTTCGTCGGTGCGTGTTGACGCGATCACGATGAAACACGCCGTAACGGTAGGAGCTAACGTGTACGCGGTTGACATTCGGGAAGCCGAGGCAGCAGACAAAGGGGGGGATCTACAGAAACTGCGAGCCGACGTACAGGATGACGTGGCAGCACTCCTGAAGCTAACAGTGAAATATTTCTGGACGACCTGCCGACGGGACTGCCACCTCAGCGACCGCATGACCACAGTACAGCGACAGCCGACAGTACGGCGACAGTTCCGACTGACCCAACCCAAACTGGACGAACTGAGGAAGCAGCTATATTACCTGCTCGAAAAAAAATTCATTCGCCCGAGTTCGTCACCCTTCGCAGCACTGATACTGTTCACGCCGAAGAAGGACGGGGGTTTTCGCATGTGCATAAACTACAGGGCACTGAACAGAGTTACCGTCAAATCACGTTACCCCATTCCGCGAGCCGACGAACTGATCGACCAACTGCGCACAGCCCGAGTTTTCTCGATATTGACCTTAGAGGGGTTTACCACCAGATTCGCGTCAACCCACCCGACTGCCCTAAGACAGCTTTACGAACACGCTACGGATTATTCGAATATACAGTCATGCCGTGTACCTCGACGACATATTGATTTACAGCCCCGACAGAGCACAGCACTTACAGGACATCGAAGCCGTTTTTTAAATACTGAGTGAGAACCGCCTACTGACCAAAACCTCTAAGTGTGAGTTTTTACAGGACCGACTGGAGTTTTTAGGACACATCATTTCAGCTGATGGAGTGAAAATAGACCCGAAGAAAATTGTGACGGTTCAAGCATGGCACGCGCCGACCGACTTGACCGAGTTGCAGAGTTTTCTGGGGTTTGTCAACTACGTGCGCCGGTTCGTCCCCGACATGGCGAAGTTGACTGCCCCATTGACCGACCTGCTAAGGAAGGGGGTTGAGTACACGTGGGGGGAGAAAGAGCAAGCTGCCTTCTCGGCCCTCAAAAATATTTTGTGGTCGCCGCCCGTGCTTCACATCGCAGATCCGCACCGTCCGTTCGAGCTGGTCACCGATGCTAGTGACATCGCTGTGGGAGCAGTACTACTGCAGGACTTCGGGAACAGCCTCCAGCCAATCGAGTACGAGTCCCGCAAGCTTCACCCGCCCGAACGCAACTATCCGATACACGACCGCAAGATGCTGGCGATCGTGCACGCGTTCAAGGTGTGGCGATATTGCCTCACAGGAGCAGACGTGACGGTACGGACAGACCACCGATCACTACAGTACCTTCGCGCCCAACCGAATCTCAACCCGCGACAACTCCGCTGGTTGGACTATCTAGAGTCCAACTTCCACTACACGGTCACGTACAAAAAAGGTGCATTCAACATCGCCGACGCACTCACACGCCCCACCGCCCAACTCTACGCCATCCTACTTGCCCAAACCAACCCATTGCTAACAGGCCTATTCACCCACAGATACAGTACCGACCCATTT